AACTACAGTTGACGGTGGTCATGTCGAGCAGAGGTACTGATACTGTCTGAGTGTCTGATATGAAGAATTAAAGATAGTATCTGGTGAGTGAGAGACCGCGAACTTGATAATTTAGTGAAACTTAGGATACGAGAACTGTGATTGGGTGAGCGGGAGCCGGGGATATAATATAACATTGTAAACCGAGACGGTGCCTGGTGGTTCTAATGACCCATTCTAATCTTAACAAATATAAACAATTAAAAATAGTAATAATCCCTCACAATGGCACTGCACTCTTAATAGGAAAATGCCACACTGTGTAGATCAGCACTTAACGATGGAATTTAAACCTCATCTGACTAATAATAAGCCTGCTGGATATTAGATTTAAAACAGGCAAACCGATTTTTCAAACTGTTCGACTCACTGAATTTATAAGTGGTACACTATAGGAGGCGAGACATTTATGGCATTTACCGTTTAAGAGAGTTGTTTTTTGGCCGCTGATTCCGAGTTTCCTACATACTTACATAGGGATCATGTCTGTGAGTTGTAATTAGTTTACGCAATAAGCACCATCAGGACTGCCTTACCCCAGAGGTAGGCAAAGCATCCATATGCTATCCTCTCGTGGGCCCAGCCTCTATTTTTAAAAAATTTAAAAAATAAAAAACCATCAGTAATTGGCAGGATGATGATTAATCACTCTACACTCGACTGTCACGTGACTTTTTCAACCCGTTCTCTAGCTGGTCCTGAACGACTATTCTAGACCCTAACCCTCTAATCTGATCCCAAGCCTGACCCTAACCCAAACCTTAGCAAAAGCATATACTGAAACCCTAACCCTAACGATAAATTAGACTAACTTCCTTATACGGTCATATCGCGTGATCAAGACAGTTTTTCGCCGATATCTCGTCAGGGGAGCATTTTACCCCTATGTCATAGGGGGTGATTCTGAATCAGCGTCCGAAAATACATCGATAGAAGTTGGTTTCAACTGTCGGGGGCCCTTTTAGAACAATCTCGAAGATCGACTGTAGAGTGATTTAGCACGCTCGTAATTGGCATAAAACGTTTTGTCTCCAAACAACTTTTGGTACCAAAATTATAATATTTGAAGGACCAAAGAGTTGTTTTTTGGCCGCTGATTCCTACATAGGGTAAACGATTCCCTGAACTCTGAATTCAATGCATGAGGAGAGTTGTTATAAACAGGTTATGATATTTAAAATTCAAATGCCTTGTTATGAGGGGAAATGAAAATTGATGATATGAAGGTATTAGACCAGGATAATCTTAAGATATTATAGTTAAATATCAAAATCAATCTAGGTAAACTATAGGTAAAAATATAATATTAATCATAAGCTAAAATGTACTAATCTTTGTATTCTAAATGGGGAAAAAGAAGAAACATTGTCAGTCAGTCGAGAAAATTGTCAGTCAGGCTATATGGCAGCTTTGTCGATGTTGTGACTATGCTAGTAGTGGTCCCAGGCTTGCGACTGGAATTGCGGTGTTAAATCGATTTAATGGTATACCAACGATCCACCTCCCACTTGTTGTTTGGTACTTAGCATTAATAGTGTTACTGTTAGCTGTAGCCATTTATAGCAAGAATCTTAAAACTAAAGGGGATGACAAGGAAAAGTGGAAGGAAAAAGAATAACGGAACAAACAATTAATTAAAGTATTTATAGGAGCAAGACAGTTTATGATATTTAATGGATTTGTTATTTTGAACCCTACTACATAGGGTTGATTGAAGACAACGTGGGTAAACGTGGCGGTATATTATTATTATATTATCATACTATAGCATTATAAGCACATGTCTACAGCTATAACAACTGTAGCTGCACATGTTAATAGGGTCGGTCAGGACAGGCTCTTTCTCTAAATTCGATCAGCCATTTAAGGAGTAGATTTTCCGAGACAGCTCCCAATAGTAATAGCTCGATAGTTATCAGAGTTTTTCCGGTTACCCTTCTTATGGAGGGGAGTTGTGATTGAGTTGTTCCAGGGGTAAGTTCCATGCTGGAGGCAGGCATTGAAGAGTTTTACCGCGACGAGTTGAAGTGTCTCATTTGAGTTTTTCAACATCTCGTTGGATATTAGATCATCGGACACACTTTTATTGTTTTGGAGTTTTTTAGTCGCATCTTTGATCTCCTGTAAGGTAAAGTGGCGATTCAGTTCGTCGACCAATTTCTTGATAGGCTGCTAATCGTTGGACATAGGAGTAGAAGTGACATCATCCTTTGAGTGATTGTTCACGCCACACTTTCGGTTGTAGAGATCATTGGAAAATTTGTGAAAGAGGAGGAGATCGTAGATGTTAAATGATTCCTTATCTTTGTACTGATCCACATTGTACCTCTCCACATTCGTATATCTTCTGGTTCATCTCGTACAGAAATTTCCCCTTTTTCGTTACTCCTTTTTTCTGAGAAAGTGCTGGTCACGAAGGAAGTTGCTGTGTGGGCTACTGTTGGCATTTCTGTCAGCTCTGTCAGTTTCCCTTTCAGCATGTCTGAAGCTTTGGTCAAACCACTTTTGACGTAAGATTGTGGTATGTTGCGACTAAGTCTTCATTATAAAGCTGTGCAGCTCCGTTTGCCGTGTTCACTGGTTGATTAAGTAGGCAGTCCATTAATTTGTCTTTGAATAACTGATCACTCTGTGCCAGCCGGAACTTAGTTGCTGTATCGGCAGAGAGGTTCTCTGATCTGTTCCATTTAAAATATATAGGTGCATCTTGGATATCTAGTGATTCAAGACTGGTAGAAATCCTTCTTGAGGGATTAGTGGATATTGACATTGATAGTAATGTGATCGGAGTATTGAGAGATGCTCTCGATTTTGAAGGATCCATTAGTGGGTGAGTCATAGACATTGATTAGATAGGTGTTTCGGTCTAGGTCGAAGTAGTTAGCTTTCAGCTTAACTACAATGATATCTTCCGTGGAGTTCATACGATCACATTGGTTACACCGGCTTTTAAGCTTTTGTGTACTCTCACTACTCCTATGCATACCCCTTCCTGTTAGAATTAAAGCAACAGTAGTAATTTATGTTAATCTCCCCTCTTGTTTCTTGCAGAGCAAAAATATCGTGGTTGTCGAAGAGCTTACGAATTTCGGGAATGTCAACCTTGGCTCCTTCAACTTTGTCCCGAGTGTGGTTGATATTCCAGCACAGGAACTTAAGGGAGTGGCGGGACCTCGTTGGTGTTTTATTTTACCCCAAATATTTAATCTTGATTTATAAAACTAGACAAACTTGTCGCGCAATGCAGCTAACTTAAATCCTTGCCCAACCGATGATTTATGATATTTAACGGATTTGTTATTTTGAACCCTACTACTGCATAGGGTTGATTGAAGTCAACGTGGGTAAACGTGGGTGGTATATTATTATTATACTTATACTAACATACTGTAGCAGTATAGCACATGTCTACAGCTGTCAGCTATGGCAAATGTCTGTGAGTTGTAATGAAGCTGTCTGATAACAGGTTGGTTATGTAAGTGATTCGATATCTGGTTAAATCTATAATTAGAAACAGCTCCGGATTTATCCATATACCATTACCAACACGTAATAATAAAACAATCATTTGTTGACAAACCCAGGAAACCTTACTGGCTGTGGCTGGGTCTATCTCCAAAAGTAAAAGAGATATAAGCAAAATATATGGCAAAATTTTCGTCTCGTAAAAGTAACGTTTCCTTCCCAGCTAAGATGAAAGTTGGGGATACTGTAGATTTTAAGTCATTCCAAAAAGTCTTATTTCGAGCCAAATTAAATTTTCAGAAAATATACTTTGCTGCAGAATTATTGTCATCCAATCAGAAACATTTAAAAATAAAATAAATAAAATGATAAATACATAAATCAGTGGAGGGTTGAGCTTTGCCCTGTGGTATCGTTGCTTCGTTAAATTTGAGAGCAACCTGTGTCATGCTTGAAACCAGCTCAACTCTATATACGTTAACATGAAAATACAGGGTGGGCCAAAAGTAAGTACCCATTATACGTTGGGTCTTATACCTCTGCCGTCTTTTATACTTGAGAGTTGTTGCTTTGCAGATGGCATACTGTACCTACTTGTTCGAGGATTCCGTCGCCAAAATTTGAAAATTCAAATATTTTAGACCACGCTCATTCAATATTAAAACACCTATATTGTTCTCTCTGAACAGTGAACATGTTGGACGCCTAATTTTGTCTGAGACGGTAGATTTGAGATTTTTACATTTTGCATCTGATCTGAAAAAAATTATGTGAAACGGATTAGAAATGACGAATTTATCAAGCGATTTGTGTATCTCGTTAGCAAAATTGATAGGGTGATTATGTGACACCGTGACACGACACTTTAATTGGACAGCTTTAACACTTCCCATAATGTTTAATGGGGTAGTTAACGGGGTCACCTTATCACGTGATTAGGTAAGCCAATCACCTGATCACATGTAATTAATAAACTCGTTATGCTTCGTATCTCGGTCATCTGAGAAGCTATAACTCTAATTTTTTTCAGGACAAACGTAATTCGAATGGCCAAACACAATTCAATAAAATTTAGCTCGATCCGACTATCCAAATTATCAAATAAATGCGAAAATGAATCTTCATTTGAAAAAAAAATGAACACGAATATTTTTCGAGTTGACAAATTCCTCGAACCAGTGGTGGTACTAAGTTATACCAGAAAGAATTATTTCAATTGGGCACTTAGTGACTGAGCTATAAAGGTCAACGTATGGGTACTGACTGTTAGCCCACCCTATAAAACACATAATATAAAAGACAAGATATAAGAATCTAAAATATGAAAATATTTAGTTGACTCTGTCAAAGATGATTAAAAGTAGCTCAAGCTGCGAAGCTGGATTTATTGAACGCACGATGCACATCGATTAAAAGACATGGACATAACTCATTAGTAGTAACTTCTGGACAAATTTTGGAGAGGTCAAGATAAAACATTATTATATATATAAGATATGCAACACAAATATCACTTGGCCCTTGAAGGCAAGTTCTCAAATTTTGTGACCAGCAACGATCCAAATGCCGACCTTCAAAATCTTATGTCTCATATTCGTGATGCTGCCAATGTTTCCATCGGCCCAAAACCTAAAGCTCGCTTGAAACATCACAGCAGTGATGACACTCTCAAAGAGCTTGTTGAAAAGCGTCACGATCTCCGACAGCTACTTAACAATAATCAATCTCTTGATCGAACTACATTGAGGTCATCCATCAACCACCTCACTAATAGTATCCAGAAAAGATTAGTTGAAGTGAGGTCTGCTCAAGCTGATCAGACTAATAGTGATATTACTAACACAAACGATTCAAGGAAAATGTTTGAAGCAGTAAGACATCTTCAGAAAAGTAAACCACCTAATAACTCGATTGGTGTTCATGATGAAAATGGCTGTTTGATTGCATCTGACGACATGAAAGCTTCTGTTGTTAGAGACTATCTCGAAAAACAGCTGACTCGCAATGAGCAACCTCTCGAGCCTTTTGAGGGTCTACCACGTGCTCTCAATGTCCCTTTTACTGGAGTTGAAATACATGCAGCCACCTCTAGCTTGAAAAATGGGAGGGCAAATGGTCCCGATGGAATACCCAACGAGCTAATTAAGTACTCTAATAGTACAGTCCATGAACATTATGCTGGAATCATAAACAGTTGTTTCGAGACACATACTTTCCCTATTTCCATTGGAGAGGCTACTATAACACCCTTACAGAAGCCAAAAAAACCTATTGGTCCTCTGAAGAATTTACGTCCACTCACCTTGTCCAATGCAGCCAGAAAAATTCTGTCTATGGCTACTCTTAAAAGGATAGAAGAAAAAGTGAACGCCTTCACTGGTCCATGGCAGTGTGCATATAAACGCGCTCGTTCTTGTGCTGATATTGTTTGGTGTCAGCGAGTTCTACTGTCAGTTGTCCAAAGGAAGAAATGGGAGTATCATCGCATGGGCATTGATATGTCTAGTGCGTTTGACACGATCAAACGCACTACGATTCTTGAACTCCTGAAACTGTGTGGCTGTACTGAGGATGAGCTGAGGATTGTCCGGTTGTTGTTGTCCAACACAAAGCTACGGGTGAAGGTAAATGGAGTTCTTTCAGCTGAGTTTTTAAGTCTCCTTGGAGCTTTCCAAGGTGACTGTCTATCCGGCTGTCTGTTCACCCTTGTCTTGGCTGGTGCTTTGAATGAACTTAGATGGACTATAACAATCAGTTTAGATAGGCCGATCCCCCCGATTACTATTGCTGGCCTTCCACTTGACACTGAATATGCTGATGATGTTGACTTCAATGATGAAGAGGAAGACAACTTGAGAGCTATTTTGCCCCAGGCAACAGCTATACTCGAGAAATGGAACCTCTTTGTCAATGAAGACAAAACGGACTTCACTCATGTTTATTTAGCTAGTACGGGTGAAGTCGACAGTGATGGAAAATTAGTGTCGGGGAATGAAGCATGGAGGAAAAGTATTACTCTAGGGTCCGTCTTGTGTAGCAAAGCTGATATTCAGCGTCGCATAAACCTGGGATATGCTGCCTTTAACAATTACAAGAAGGCCTGGAGTGATAAACTGCCCCTAAACAAACGTCTAACACTGTATAATGCTTTAGTCGTATCGGTTCTTATGTACAACTCATCCTGTTGGGCCGTCCCCAAAATATTCCTTGAAAAACTAGATGTTGTTCACCGCAGACATCTTCGCACTATTTTGAATATAAAGTACCCAGGAGTCATCTCCAACAAAAACTTGTATAAACGCTGCAATGCTGAACCATTGTCAGATAAAGTGGCCCGTAGTCGGTGGAGAATGTTAGGACATGTTTTGCGGGGTCCTATTGACGGACCAGCGTTTTCTTCCCTCATTTTTGCCATCAATACACTGGACTTACCAGGGAGAAGAGGAAGACCCCAAAGCAATCTATTCTCGCTGATTGTGCATGATTTATGTAAAAGAAATCTTTATTTGAATAATATCTTTGACCTGCATTATCTCCGTAATTTGAGTTATGACAAGAGATATTGGCGGAATTTGCAATGAAGTTTTTAATTTTTAGTTTTTGTTTAAGGGAAAGATTAGACTTGGGCGTTGTTTTTTAAAACTATCCCTTGTTTAGAACTTTGATTTAATAATATATATATATAATAATATTTTCGAATATTTATTATAAATAAATATATATATTTATTTATAATAAATATTCGAAAATATAGCAACTCGACAAATTTTCAAAAATAAGGGGTTCAATATGAGTAAGATCACTAAAGTCAGTCGTGAATACTCCCTGAGGGCTGAGGCAAGGATGAAAGAGATTGAGTATAAATGGCTGAGTTTCCTTCTGCTCTACAGGGTGCATAAAATTAAATATACTGTACACTTGATTCTTAAAATTCTGGAAGAAAATATATAAGGAGTTGGTACAAATTCTTTTGAATAGTATCAGTTATATATGCCTTGGGCTTGAGATAGCTGATACAAAATATCAAGTAGATTGAAGATTTAGTCATGTATTGGTTTTCATGTAAGGGTTCAAAATTTAAATTCTTTTTAAAATGGTACAATTCTTGCATGTTTCCTTGTGCGGTTCTGGGACTGTAGCTCAGCCAAAATCAATATTTTTCTCCATGCTTCCATACATGTAAAAGTTATTATTGTAACGGTATATTATAACCAGACAGAAACAAAGTGTGAAGGGCCTGGACGGAACCCCTTGGTTTCAGTTCCTTGTTTAACACTGCCGTACAGCAAGGACATTCGCCGAGTTCGCCAAGGATGGGCACATAGTGTGTCCCCTGATAACACAATACGTGTTATCTCCACCTTCGGAGGTGACGCGGCACTGATAGACGTAATTGAAAAGTTTGAGTCCACCATAGAGACTTCTCCGAGTTTGTCGTCTACCTCTAACACCGACACGACAAGTACAACGGAGACCTCCAACAAGGATAGAAACACTGGCAAAAGACTATTCAGTTACGTTAAACGATCAGGCGCATTTTTGCGGAGAAGACTCCTCAACCCACAATTGCACGCAGAGAATAACACTGTAACAAAAACAGAACCTTGCCATCAAAGAAATTGTAAGTGTTGTGCAATGATAGGAAGTGAAAAGTGTTATAGTATTAATGGAGTCAAGATAAGACAAGCTCCAGGGACCTGTTCTAGCTACAACATAGACTATATATTCATTTGTAAATTATGTCCATCTCCTTTCTGCTATGTTGGACGTACCATTAGGACTTTGCATGAAAGAGTAACCGAACATAGAGCTAACTATTATAAATTATTGAAAGACCCTTCCTTAAAACTTAGTGATGATTTTATATCTGATGATAGTGACACCTATAGTTTAGCAGCTCACCTTATAGACTCACATAACCTTTCCAATAGACCTGATTTTGATGCTTCTTATAATGTTTTTATCCTAAAGAATTCTAGTCCTAGTAATTTAGAAGTTAACGAACATCTACTTATACAAAAACTCAGAACTTTGAAACCATATGGTATTAATTCATGTGATCCTTTTGGTATGCCACTTTTATTTGAAAATAAAACTTTTGACAATGGTCCTTAAATTATTTCACCCTTAATGCAGGGACTAGTATATTTTTTTCCGACTAGTTGGGGCCTCACAACCCCCCATACCCGAGTGCTTCCCATTCCATTTTTGAGAGTTTGGCTTCTTTTTACAGCTAACATCCTTTAGTTCAATTTATAGTTTTCTGATATAATTGGAGTATTAACCCTTATCTTTATTAGGTACTGACAGAGTTGAAAATTACGTGAGATAATTTTTAAAATACGCCGTATGTAACGTTTTTTTGCTTAGAAATAAAATACGTCAAAAATACGTTAAAATACGTTTGCCTATTTTTTTCGTAATTGCATTCAAAAACTTAATAAGTTATGTCTTTCGTCCGCAAGTTTTTCAGACACATCGTCATTACGGTTCGTAATGATTCCTATTTGCACGCTTTGGTACGCTTTAGCACGTGCACAGTTCCCTTAAATCATTCGCGAGGTGATAAACTACAGAGCTACTAGGTAGTGCGCCATCGACAGTGAGCCGCGCGTGCCGACTGTAGGATGGTTTTTTAGCGCTAATTTCGGCCAGCACAATTTTCTTCAAACAAATAGATGTTGAGTATCCTTCCCGACCTCCAATTGCAACAAAAATTGGTAAGCTTACTCATAGACTTACAAGGAAAGTGTCCGAAAAATTTAAAGCATATCCAACCATCAGACATTATGTTACAGCTAAAAGCAGCGTATTTTGCCCCATTTTGATCACTATATCAACTCCGACATCCACCAAATTTTTCGGACAGTTGTGAAAGCCCTATTGGAAGGTCGTCGCCAATTTCCAGAATGATCTCATATAAGGAACTGAAGATATATCCGAATAATACGACAAATCCGAATAATACGACAAATGGTCAAATTTGGACGAATTTGGTCAAATTACGCGACTTTTACAGCTACTTTTGCTCCAAAAGCCGCGCACCATCAAATATGGCACCTAGGCGAAACTCACTGATCTTTCCAAAAAGGTATGACAAATTTGGTATTGTGCAAATTCTCACAGTCTCTAGAAAACAGTGGTACAAAAATTTTTTAAATCCGAGCAAGTTTATTTTTATCGTGCACCCCCTAGAGCTACGCGAGTTTTAATCAAACTTTTATCTTGTATAAATAGAAATAGTACTTATTATTTCATTGGAGCTCTTAATGCTACAAAATCACTTGTAACGTATTTTAACGAATTTTATTCAGCGAAAATAAAATACGCCGTATTTAACGTTTTTTTGATATTATATAAAATACGTTAAATACGTATTTTTCAACTCTGGGTACTGAAGATGTCCGAAAATGTTTTACCAATGATGTTATAAAGATTTTGTTGGAATTTTTAAACTCATTCGTTGTCTGACTGTGGGAACTATTGATTCTTGATGGGCACATAGCTCACTCCACAAGATGTTCTGTCAAATGTTGCTTATATACCGAGGATTTACAGGAAATATTTCCTTGTAGGTTTTAGAGGGTGATCTGTGAAAGTGTGAACAGACAACTATACCTTATTCCCAACTTATAGGAATTAGAATTTCATTACTATCCCAACGAGCTACACCAAGCATATGTAGCTCTGCAACACCCCATGTAAAAAAACTAATTGGTTATTGAGATAATTGATTTTATGTGAGGCGCTCCGCAATCCAATGCCCAAAAATGAGCGTTATCTGGCTCGAGAACAATATCTGTCTTAAAACCATAGAAAGCACCGAGATTAATCTTAATGTTGATGGTTTTAGATGTAAAATACATCAAGGAACACAGTAATGAATTCCATTTGCTGCTAACTTTCATAATTAGACCGCCACGGCCCACGCCTATTTTATTATTAGAAAACGCCCATTTTGCCTGATTTTTGCCCTCAAATGAGTCTGGTGACCCTAAAAACTCCCACACTCCTATAAAATACTTTTGATGACCAACCCCATATGACCTGATTATGATATTCAGAACAGCATATTCGATCTGATCACTTTGAGTGAATACTGATAGTGAAGTTCCTTAGAACCGAAGAAATTCGCGTTATAGCGCTTCGGTTGCTGTCCTATAAGCAGTCTCCAACCAATCAGGACATTGATTGACTGACGATATCACTGATTAAGTGCTGGATCACGTAATCTTAAAGTTAAAAGGGTCATAACTCGGTTAAATTGTGAACAACCAACTTGAAATTTTGGGAAAGCACTTCAATTATCTAACCAAATGTGTCTAGAAACTTTGAAGTTCCTAGCTAAAAACTTTATGGTGACAATACTAATAGTTAAAAAGAGGGAGTGGCGTGCCACAGCCACTGTAATTAATTAAATTTAACGGAACTTTCAGGAAATCTAAGTTTGACCCATAATGTCCAAAGATTCCCTGAAAGGAACTGTTTTGGATTATGTTTGTTGGAAGAAAAAAACAATATGTGCTATTTTCCAAGCTATAACAATACCATGATTATAAACGATATATTCGGGCCATAGCAGCAACTAACACCAAAAAATCTTGAAGAAATATTGGCAAAACTTACCTTTAAGCTTTTATTTACCCCTTGTGCAGCTTCGAGATAAACGCGCCACAATTTTAAAGTTTGTTTTAAATTGCATTACGCGTTTATAGACATGCATTTTATTATAAACTGATCGCAAATTTATGTTTGTCGAGACGAATTCGTCACTGAATTTTATCATTCATGGATACTTTAAATCATTTAGACTTAGTTCAGCGGAACTAGTTAAATAACTGTAACACTATATACCGTTTATAATTATATAACCATATAAAATTATGAGTTATTCTGGAGGGGTCTTCGTGAAACATATTAAACATCGTGTTTATCGTCTTCGGATGAGTTATACTATTAAATTCGTTGGGTGAGCACGTGTTCCGCCACCAAAAATCGTTATTGAATACGATATTAAAAAGACATTTTAGCAAAAGAAAAACCAGCTTTATTTGCTTACTGGTAAGATATTAAAGTCATTATTGTAACTGTATATTATAACCAGACAGACACAAATTGTGAAGAGCCTG